TGCAGATGCCAGCAACATGAAAGTAACAGCTTTGTTTTAAAGAGAAGAATCTTGGCAGGGCTGGCGGGGCTCATCGGTGATCCCAGAGCAAAATGCAAGTTTGCAGCTGGCTTCCTAATCATTACTCAGGCAACCAAACAGGCTGGCCCCCTCTGTTCGGCACCTGAAGACTGAAAAGCTGCTTTATTTTATCCTTGCCGAGATATGTGCAGTTGAAATACCTTCATCATAGACTCACAGGATGTTAATGCAATCAAGGGCCTTACCCATCAAAGGATCTAACCCCCACTACTTTCCCGGAAGAGTAAACTGAGGCTCAACGACTTGTCCGAGGTTATACAGAGATTTCTAAACAGCCAGAACTACAACTTCGGACTCCTCCCTCCTGGGCTGCTGTGCTTTCCGCCTCTTCTGGGAATTTGCTAGGTTTATGTCCGGATCCTGCCCTTAGTGTGATTTTCAAAGGTGAAGCCTTGGGAGATCAGCACTTCACAAAAATGGATGCAAAGGCTCAAGGGAGGTCACAGGAAGTGACTGCTAAGACAATGTTGTCAATCTGACCTGGTTTTGCCTAGAAAGTGACATCTGTATAAATCCGGGAGCAATAGGTGTTTTCTGCATCAAAGACAGATTAAGCCCTAGCTCCTTTGTAGGCTGCTCCTTTGTTCTTGGGACATTTCCAATTTCCCTTTTAGTTTTTGCTTCATAGAATTAAAATGAGTTGCAGGAAAAGAGGTTCAGAAAGGAAACAGCCCCAGTAGGTCCTACAGCTCCCTGCAGTAGGACATTTTACAGGCGTCTTCAGAACAGCACTGCTGCTCACTGGGTCTGAGATGCAGGTGCCAGGGTCCTGGCCAGTGTCAAGTGATTGTAATTATCATTAGGCCTCATCCCTTGTTCTCTAGCCAGTCCCACTCCCCCAGCAGCTTCCTTCCAGGTTATCACCGCAAAAACACCTGAGCATTTAATGACTAAAATCCAGATCACTTGAATGTGATGAAGTTCACCACGTCCAGTGTGTGGTTGGGCCAGTTCAGACACAGCTGAGAGTTCCTGGAACTGCCTGTGGGCAGCTCTGCTTCCTCCATCTGACATCCCCAAAAGGCTACGCCTCCACACTCCTCCACCCAGCACTGACGGATTAGCAACATCTCCCACAAATCATCCTTAACCTGTTTGTCGTGTCAGGGTAGGCCAGAATTACATTCTATGTAGAAGTTTCCCCTGCACCAGGCACCCATACTGAGTGACTTGGAAAAACCCCATCCCCAAGACAGAAACATAAAACCTCCAAGTTCTGGACCTGAACAATCAGATGCCCTCAGGGGACTCTCACTGGCTTTGCAGTGATGTTACTTTGGAAGTATTTTTGAAAGAACTTACAGCATAAAGCAGAAAGGAGGTGTGCAAACGTGATACAACATAAAGATCTGCAAAAAAAAAAAAAAAAAAAAAAAAAAAAAAAAAAAAAAAAAAAAAAAAAAAAAAAAAAAAAAAAAAAAAAAAAAAAAAAAAAAAAAAAGGAAAAAGTGCCTCTAGTACAGTAAAGGGAGTGGGAAAGAGCCGGGAGGGACCACAACCTCTGGCTTTCTCCACCTCCACGCCCCGTCATTTCTGTGGTTCCTGAGCTCTCAGCCGGTAGGTGTTGGCTGCAGTGCAGTTACAAAAGAGGCCCTGAACATCTCCTGCAGAGTGTCTGGCCTCCAGGTGGGCCTGACTGTTACTAGACTTCACTACACTGTTACTTTCACCTGCTTGGTGTGCAAAGCCAGGCTGTGTGCTTAGTGATCAAGAGGACGCATTCTGGACTGAGATGCCTTTGATTGCAATCGCAGCTCTTCCTCCCAGCTCCTGGTTTGGAATTTTCCACCTGTGTGTTCTAACAGCACAGTTTCTGGGCTTTGGGGTTTGCTAGACCTAGATTCTAGGCACTGCCATTTACTAACTTGGCAAGAAACTTGGGCAAATTTCTGAAATTCTTTGTGCCTCAGTTTCCTCATACATCACGCTGACAATAAGTGTGTGCCATTGTATTATTCTTGAAAAGGACTACAGGAAAAGGAAAGAACACAGCTTTCAGTATTTGCTCTAAGCAACCATTAAAAGATTTAAGGAATTCAGCAAGATTCCAACTGACAGTCTACTTTCTCACCATTACACCACTGAACTGGGCCTGTCAGAGAAGAGCTAAGTGCTGTTGGATCTGGTCATAGGCAGGACTCCATGATGCCTCCCAAAGGTCCCTGGCCCCTGGTTATTCAATCAAACACTAATCCTGGTACTGCTGTGAAGGGATTTTGCAGATGTCATTAAAGTCTCAAATCTGTTAGCCTTCAATACAGATTATCCAGGTGGGGCTGACCTAATTACAGGAGCTTTTTAAAACCAGAGAGTTTTCTCTGGCTGGTTAAAGAAGAAGTCAAAGAGATTCAAAGCATGAAAGTGATTCAATGCCAAGATTTCTCCATTAATGAAATGGAGGGGGTCATGTGGCAAGAACCTTCGAAATGGCTTCTAGGAAATCCCCTGCCAACAGCCAGTAGGACAGTGCAGATCTTAGTCCTACAAATGCAAGGAACTGAATTTTGCCAACAAGGAAGCTTGGAAGCAGACCTTTCCCTGGGTGAGCATCCAGCTGAGGATGCAGCCTGGCCGACGCCCTGATTTCAGCCTAAGAGATCCTGAGCGGAGGACCCAGCTAAGAAGTGTCAAAAACTATGAGACAGTAAATTTATGTTGTCTTAAGCCTCTCAAATTATGGTAATTTGTTACACAAGGATGGAAAACTAACATAAACCTCTCCTAAAAAGGATCGTGGGGCTGGGCGCGGTGGCTCACGCCTGTAATCCCAGCACTTTGGGAGGCTGAGGTGGATCACGAGGTCAGAATTTCGAGACCAGCCTGGCCAACATGGTGAAACCTCCGTCTCTACTAAAAATACAAAAATTAGCCAGGTGTGGTGGTAGGCGCCTGTAATCCCAGCTACTCAGGAGGCTGAGGCAGGAGAATCGCTTGAACCTGGGAGACAGACGTTGCAGTGAGCCTAGATTGGGCCACTACACTCCAGCCTGGGTGATAAAGCAAGACTCCCTCTCAAAAAAAAAAAACAGGGTTATTATAGCAGGCTGTGCCACTTGTAGGTGTTATATTTGGTTGTGACTATACAAATTGTTGTTGGCTTTTTCCCTGATCAACTCAGAGCCAGCTCCCAGTGCAATGGAAAGAACAGCTCACTCAAGACAAGAATGAGCTATAGGACTGCACAAAAGTGGTGCCTCATTAAAATCTACAATAGTGTGTAGTCTCTGTGTGTTGATAATAGTTGTCTACAGCCTGCAAATAATGAAAATAGAACACAGTGTTTTCCTCTATATCCCTCTAAAGCCCCATTTCATAAAAGCCGAATGAGGGAAGCTCAGATACCTGGCCTTGGAGGACTCCAGGACACTCAAGTCTTGAGATAGTTTTCTCTCCTTATGAAACAAGATAATGTTTGACTTTCATTTTCTGGAGGTTTTCAGTGAGTTGGACATTTCAGAAATACTTTACGTTCCCACCCCTGGCTTCCCCAGAGGCTTTCCCTACAAGGAAGTTCCCTCCTTGGCTGTCGTCACTGCACAGTGGCCATTTCTTCAGCACTAAGAAGGAGCTAAATGTGAAGCCAAACTTTCTCTCCCACCATCGGCTCTACCAGGATTGCCCTTGCACGGCAGGCAGGTGGCCTAGGCAGACATGCATAGCTGGTAGCAGAAAATTAAGGTTTCTCTTAAGTTCAGCGAGCTTTTCTAAAACATTATTAGGACCTGGAGTTAGACTTGACAAGCATGCAAAACAAGAACTAAAGCTGTTTCTACAACTGGGACCCAAAGAACATGAGATTTGATAAACTGGTACCAAGAAATACTATTTTCAAGGGAAAAGAAAAACAATTTGCTGCAGAAATTTCACAGATGGATGCACAGACTCCTTGTCTTTGAACCTGTGTAAAGATTTTCGTGAGATCCAGAAGGTTCTTCCCGGTGAATATTTTTATTGGCATCAAAACAAGAACCCCAACAGCAACACAGATCCCTGACACCTCTGGCATAGAAAGCTGTGCTGCCTAGAAGTGTCTTCGGATTGGTAGGACATTTTCATGGGAGAGCCACCTGAGAATATTTTTTTCTAGATGCCCCAGGCTATGCCACAGGCAGACGGCCCACGTACTGAGCAAAAGGGCACCAGGATGAGGTTCATTTTAAGGAAAATATACGAATAGAGCAGTGGTGCTGCATTACAAGGTCCTTCTCTGGTGCTGTGACAGGAAGGTCCCTCTAGGCTCCTCCTACTGGGACACATTCCAACCACCCAGCCCAGTCTCCCACCTCCTGGCTGGAGGTTGCCCTGATTTACCATTCCACCTCTCCCTCTGACAACAAACAGGAATGGATGGCTGGTATTCATCCTCCCAGGCACCCACTGTGGGTTTGGGAAAGAGCCTTCTGTGTTCTTCTCACCAGTCAAGCGTGTGAAGGAGGGACTGAAAGGCCTTGGGAGCCACTGGGTCTAGAAAAATTCCCAGTCAATCCATCACCTGCCTCCTCTGGAGCAGGGTCTGTCAGTCTCACCATCATTCCTGGGGCAGGTCGAGTGGAAATGAGGGGGGTGCGTGTGTGCGCACGCGTGTGTGCACCCGTGTGTGTGTGTGTGTGTGTGTGTGTGTGTGTGGTGTCTAAGCGCAGAACAGGACTGGTAACAGAAGTGCAGGCGAGAGGGCGTGGGAGACTGGGAACTCATTTATAAAAGCTCTTCTGCCCTAGAGCAAGTCAAACTCCCTGCTGAGGAGTTGCTTTTTCTTCCTCCCTTTTGAGTCTTGTGTGCTGAGCTGACCTCTCCCCTGGCAGAGGTCAGCGCTCTGCTCACCCCGCACACACTCAGCCTTCTGGGGTTTGATTGCCTTAGAGCCTGAAGAGGAGAGAATTCTTCAGCTCTAAATTCTGAGAGAAAAGCCACAGTAAATCTCGTGAAGAAGCCATTTTTTCTTTTTAATAAATATATACACACATTATGATAAAAATCTTTTGGGAACTGTGCAGAAAACAGAAGGCAAACATAAAAACCAGACATCATTATATAGCCCCCTCCCATAGCCTACTTCATTCTGAAAATAAATCAGGCTGGGTAATGAATGAGGTTTTAAGAAATGCAACTGAACTTAAAACACAAGGTCAGTGTCTCATCCTAGGTAATCCTTCGGAGGATGAGAAATTCTCCTGATTTTCCCACAGGGTTATTTCAGATGCAATTTCTGAGCCAAACTATTTTAAAAGCGTTCATTCTTTCACTGCCCTGCCAAATGCTAACTTGAAATTCACATGCACTTTTAGAGGGCCCATTAATGATATTAACGATCATGATCAAAGGCAAACCCCAGAGGTTTATGTAAAATTTCGGACAATTATTTAGGTGCTTTAAGACCCATCTTCTGAACGAGGGTAACAATTTCTCAATGTTGGCAAAGACGAGAGGTGTGTTTGGATGTGTAGGCTCTAAAGCAGCAGAACCAATGTAGAGGGGCCTTCAGAAGAAAACAAAATACATCTCTTTGTAAGATTAAAATGTATGACTGTTGACTGACAACTTGTCTCCAAAGCCATTCCTACTCATTTACTTGCAAGTAGGTGGTATACTTCTGATTTGCAGAAAGCCCCTCTTCTAAAGATACTCAGCTGACCCTCTCTTTTAACATCTGCTATTTACATGCACACTCCACATTTTTAAACAATAGTTCTTAACTATGGTGTCTCCTGTGAATCATTATTTGATGAGCTTTAAAAATCCCAACACCCAGGCCAAACCTCAGAGATTCTGACTGAACTAGAGGCTATCCAGGTAGGTGGCCAGTGTAGAAAACCATTTTCAAACAGATGGAGAAATTAATACATGAGAGGTGTATGTTTATCCCGATGCACTAAAAGCTGTGTTTGGCACTTAAACTATTAGAGATAATTTTCTTTGACAGATGAAGAAACTAAGGCCTGGGAGCTTGCATCACTTGTACCAAAACACATAAAACCAATTAGTGGCAAAGCAGCAGCCTGGACCCAGGAATTGCAGCTTGCAGCCTCATGCTATTATGCAGTCCCCAGATCCCAAGCCCAGCCCCCAAGGCCAGGGCAAGGCATCTTTCCTGTGGGTTAGGCCAGATGGCAGGCCACCATGACCAAAACACTAGGAAGAAATGAGCTATGCCTCATACACTGCGGTGGTTCTCAGCATTGCACACACAGCTATTCCAACCTGATACTGAAATGCTTCTGAAAAGTTATGTACAAAAGTACAGAAGTTGAAAAAACAAACCAAAAACTACAGAAGTGTGCAGTACTGAAATAAAAGGCAGTGTAGATTCTGAGTAAAGATTATATCCACTTGGAAAATAGAAATGAATCCATTTGGGGACTGTCAAGATTCCTGGAAAGGAGTCAAAGTGCTGTAGTTTAATCCTGCCAAAGAGGTCTATCTTAGCTCAGAGTTGGGAGCAGAACTGGGAACAAGTCCACATTGTATGCACCCCAAAATCTCATAGGTCAATTTCATCCAAATGCTTCATGCTGGGTTTTCACTGCCTAAATCTATAAGGCCAATGGTTAAATGGAAAGCTCCCCTTTGATTATTTTATAAAGTATTCAAAACTGCAGGATTATTTCAACAAAGAAAACACTTCTTTCAAATACAGCATAATTTAAAATAGCATGTTCAGAAAAGGGCAATTTGGGTATGTATTTTTTGGGGTTAATTCACTTGTTTTTGAAGAACAAAAACCTACACACTAATTTTTTAAAACAATTGTATTCTATTCATAAAACAGTACATTTATGTCAATATGTACTGTTTTATGAATAAAGAGTAAAATTGTTTTACGCTTTATTCATAAAACCTTAGGCATGCACAACTACTGAATTATTTAAAGAGTTTAAAACAAAACGAACGAGAAGATAAGGAAAAAAGAGCTCTCCTGGTGACTTACTACCATGTTTGGCTCTTTAACTTGATTGAAGAAAATTATTTGGGGGATCTGTCCAATTCACACCTTCTTTTCCCTGATCAAATACTTTAGAGTCAAACATATGGTTTTTTTACTTTTGCTCAAGCAAAGAATTAAAATTTTTGATAAGGAACTGTAAGGTAATAGGATGTATGGTAATATTATGCTGCCAAAGGAAACATTTGAATATGATTAAATTCAAGCCCAGTGCCAGGTAGCGCTAGATAATTAAAGATAATTTTATCCATTCAAGTCCCCCCTGTTAAGCTGCACATTGACACATATATGTTCCCTGTTTCGTTAAATAAATATGGAAACCAAATTAGAGGGAGACCTGCAGATTTCTGAGAATTTAATTATACCCTTAAATTGCAATACCAATGATGTATATGGTTAGACTTCTGTACTAGGTAATTACCTGAATTAACTTCATTTTACAACACTTAATTTATTTTGTACCAGGGAAGGCTTTTAACTATTTAAGATAAACCAATCTAATTTTGATTTTTTTACTTGCTTCAACGTGTTTCAATTCATTAATGTTTCAATAATAAGGAATGAACTCTCTTGTCTTGACAAACCAAGCATGAAAATTTCCTCATAAAAGAAGAAATTAAAATGATTTCCATATTCAAGTCACAGTATGCTGAAAAGAGAATTTTGGGTTCTTAGGAAAAGCCATTGTCACCTCCAAAGGAGGGCCACTCATTACAGTTTTGTGGAAATTTAATAGCAGGGCCTGCCAAGAAGGAATTCAAGGAAACTGGGAATGGCGACACTGTGATCCCAGGCCATTCTCTTGAGCAGAGGTTTCCTTCCCTTATGTGTTCTGCCCTCGCCAAGCTCTTTTCTGAAATCAAAGGCCACTGATATGCACAACAGTCCATGCTAAAATCCAAACATGACACCAAAAGCAAACAATTACACTGTGATCCCATTGCGGTCTGCAAGCTGTATCTTGAGATCTTTCAGAGATAAGCTATATTCCCCATAAATCAAACTACAGAGGGTTTTTATGATTGTTGCTTTTTATAAAATGAAATACACTTCTATACTTCTATAGTATTAAAATAAGTGAACAAAAGAACTGAAGCACTTAGTCCCCTACCCCCAAAGTTTGCTCCTTTGCATTTCACAATTTATATGTATATCTGGATGACAGTTAACTTTTAGTGGCAAAGATAAGAAAATGTGAAAGAGAAATCATACAGATTGTTCCCAGGCCTTTCTTGTTTATGGACATTGAAATAACCTCAACACCAATATATTAAGATGTCATCTGAAAGTACATGGAAGTGGCTTAGAATCCATGACACTGAGACAGTTAGGAAAATCAAAGTTACAACGTCAATCGAATTGGATCATTGACTTCTCCAAGATTGGAGTCACAGGGACTTGAATATAACTTGGGGTACCAGGTAAGTGGTTGAGTAACTTGTCCTTTTTGACTGAGAATACTGACAGTGTTTTACTTTCGGATGCCAAATTATTAAGATCATTAAGAATATCAAAGCACATACCATTCCCAACAGTGAGAACCCTTCATTTCCTACCTAATAAGCAACAACAACAACAAAACCCTGGCATCCATTTGCCCCTTTGTACTTCCAAATATCCAAAGAATCACACGACCATTCAAATAACAAGAGATCCAGGGGTGTTTCAGACATGTGCAAGAAAAATGCTTAAAGGCAAAATTCCTCAAACACATGCCGCAGTGTGGGAACTGAGAGCCATTTCCTCTGTAAACCCTGTTAAAATCCCTTTTACATGAAGGGATGTGAGGGCTGTGAGGGAGACCCCATCTATCTAACCAAAGATGCTATTTTCCCTCTTAGATTACAGTAATGGTCATATCCCCAAATATAACAAACTCTAAAGCCAAGACTTTTCTTGACCGAGAATCATTCTAATTATTAGCCTTAACCACCAAGCCCAGGTTAGCTAATGAAATAAAAACTTCTCAATACCAGAGTGACACAACAGAGAAAGATGAGAAACAAAAAAACTTCTCAGAAATTTTCTCTGGTGGCTCCAGCTCAGATATCTCCCCTAGTTCTGGAGCAGGCAGGGAATATTGTTCTAGTACAGATGTCATTTTAATTTGAGACTCTTTTCCAGAAAGCTGCTTCTTGGCCTATCCCCTGGGTTATTACCTGTGTCCTCCCTGTTTATAAATCGTTCTAATTGTTTCTGTTTAAGAAGATTCAATGACACACTGTGGTCCTGTCTTCAATAAAGAACACACCTAGAAAACTGTTCCTAAGAGAGGGGCTTAAGGTGGGCTGTGGAAATGCACATTCTACCAAGTACTACGGAGGATTCCATTCTGTGCAGTCCACCCCTATTGTATAAGCAGAGTCAGCACCACTGAAGTTAGTATTCTATTGGGCTCCCTCATCTCCTACAGAATCTCCTGATAGGGTTCAGCTGGGAGCAGGAAAAAAGCCAGGAGGGACGAGGACAGGACACCAGCAGGCAGGGCTGTTTCCAGTGGGGATGGTGAGGCTGGATCATGGAACAGGAACAGGTTTCCAGGCAGGGTTTGGAATGTCAAAGTAACAGTATCTACCTCCACAGCCAGGCTCGGTGACCAAGACTGAACTTCATGAACCAAAATGGGGCCATGAAATATGGCTGCTGCTTCATGAGTCTTACTGAGTCTTAATAAGTAGGGACAAGAGATATGGGGAAGGACAGAATGAGATGGAAGAAACCACTAATCCAGCTCAAGCATGAACCTACACTATGCCTGTTTCTGTATTCTTTTAATTTTGTTGGGCTTTTCTGGGTGATTTTTCTGCTAACTTTAACACTTTAGGGAATATACTTGGTTTTCCTTATTACTTAGGGGAGGTGCTATTTCAAAGGCCCACCTCATGTTGAACAGAAAAAAAAAAAAGATGTATTAAATAAATGGACCTTGAACATTGTTTCCTTCCTGTTTCAGAATGAAATTGGGTTAAGGAAATTTTTAGCAGGTGTCCATCCAAAATAAGTCATTGCCATAATTCACTATGTGACATTTCAGCAAACCCACCAGAGACAGTGGTAGACTGTAAGGGAAGCCTCCTGTTTTGAAATCTGAATTGCCTGTGAAGCCTTCCAACTGGGAAACTGGAAACTGGTCACTGAGTTCTCGTTAGGTTCTGGTTTGTCCCAAACCAAAATCCTGGAGGTGGGCGCAAGAGGAGGGACTGGGACAGGCTTGAGCTATAGGCAACAACAAGCCTCTCCAATGTCTTCCCCTCAGGCTGGGAAGAACTGCCCATCAACTTCAACAATTATAGGGTAAGTAACAGCTTTCTGGGTAGCATGGCTGCCATACTGCAGAATCTGGGAAGAGAGTGATCCATACCCCAAACCCAAGTGTTTTACAAGTTTAAGAGAGTCCAAGGGGATGCATGTCCACATCTGCCTCCACCTGACGAGCCGGAGACCATGGCAGCCAGGCTGGAGGAAGCACCGGGGAATGTTCCATTAGTCCAGTGGTTCTCAAACTCGAGCCTGTTTCAGAATCACCCAGAGGTAGTTACTCAGCAGAGGCAGGGCCAAATAACCACATTCCTAGCACACTTCCAGACAAGGAAGCTGGTCCCAGGACCACACATGGTTCCTCCACTGCCCTACTACTCAGGCTGAGGAGCAGGAGGATGGATTGCACCCCTGGCACTGAACGGCAGCATGGTGGTACTGTCTCTGTGTGGTCCATTGCTTACTGATGTCCCAAGAATGGGCTCATGATCAGTTTCTTCATGCAGTCCTTGCATATACTCTCCTTCCTGACAAGGTGGATGGCTCTTTGTCATAATACCAATTCTCTGAAGACAGGTATAAAATGCAATGAGAAAGTAGCAATGCTGTTAGAACAAGCATACAGCCTCCTGGTTTGAAATGCTTTGACAACAAACCATAGCCACAACACAGATAACATACTTCCTATTTAAATTAATCATTGTAATTAATTCCTTTAAAATCCCGGCATCTATACACACAGCTCTCTTGTCACAGGTTTGGCCCACTACGTCCTCAACTCCAGCACTGCAATCCTCTTTGGTGTTAGTGGCCCCTGTCATATTTTTTTCTTTTCTTGGTTGGGCTATTCTGAATTGTAGATAATCTTTCAGTGTTTGTGGCTGAGCCGGTTTGCTGTGCCTGCCCTGGGTTATTTTTCATAAGATGTCTTGAGGAGAGACTTTCCACCACATGCAACTCTTCCTTAGACGTGGTTTTTGCCAAATCTTGTTTCAAAAGTAACCCCGGATCTGACAACTCTAAAGCTGGCAAAACCCTAACAGCTTTGCTTTTTTCCACTATTATTTCTCTTGGGACTAATCGATCACTTCCAGAAGAAACTCTCTCGTGGTGGTCGAAGTCTTCCGCAGAGCTGCAGTTCCTTCGTTTCTGTTGGGTTTTGGCCACTCGTGGACTTTGTTTTGGACCAGCTGATGCTGACTCACAGCTACAGACAGGGCTCCCGCTTAGAAGCCCTGTCTGTAACTGCTCCCCAGGATGAGGTTTTTGCTGGCCACTAGTGTCTTCTGGCTGGGTCTGATTAACTTTTTCCAGCTTTTGAACAGGAAGCCCCCAGTGGCTCTCAGCTGCCTTTATGTAATCCTTTGCCTGTCCTGTGGATTCTGATGGGGGACTGGAGGAGGCCTGACCATTATTCCTCCTCCTTGCTATCTCTGCAATCACTGAGTCACTAGATGTTTCCACAGTATCTTTTCTGGGCTGCGATTTGCTCATGACACTGCTTTTTGTTTCAGTTCTTTTCACACTGAAACAAACAAAAATGATTTTATGCTTTGTAAAGCTGTCACGGCACAGTTTTCTCCAAATTCCCTCTACCACATTTCCTTCACCTGAAAAAGGAGGCATGTATCACTACTTGCCTTCTCGTCTCCCAGCAAATCTAGAAACACCCACTACCACAAGTGTATGTTTAAATCAATGTCCCCTTAAATGCAGATTGAATCAAGCAAAAACCTTCACATTTTCCATTATACTAGGATACACTTGCTTATCAATCATTGGGTTAAAAATGGATTTATGATGGTATTCACATTTTAACTAAGGCAAATAAGTATTCATTTCCGATATGAAGGGTCAGCACTACCTATGTTTGATATACTGATTTTTTTTTTCCAGAAGTTGATTCAGGCTCTGTGCACACAAATGTGCATGTACACATAATTTCTATTTGTGAGTAAAGAATAATCTTTTGGAATTTCTCTCAGGCTATTTCAAGATGTTACCCAAATACAATCACCATTTAGCTGGTGTCAGGTTTGTTGATCAAGCTTACGGGAGAGGACTTAGTTAATATAATTTAAAATGTCCTGGAAGAAATTTCAGATAGCCAGCATGAAAGGCAATAAAGTACAATTGTGGAAGACAAAGTGTTGATATAGCTGTATATAAGCCCCTTGCTTCCTACAGCATCCACAACAAACAATGTAAACTTCACTCTGATGATAAAGTTAACTTTGAGCGGCAGGATAGAAGCTACCGAGGGAGAATCAGAGACTGAAGATCTTAACTTCAGTATATATTTACAGGTTTGTGAATGGCAAGAAATTTCCTCAACCACCAAAACATTGAAAGCTGAAATATTTATTTTGGCTAAACTTTAGTGTGAAAACAAATATATATATAATATTCATGCTCTTACTGTTGACAACAAGAGCATGAGGATTATCATAATTATACTGAAGTCGGAACAAGGATCTTAGGAAAGGAATGTGTTTTTTAGATCTGTCTGTAGTCCCTCCGAAAGCGGCATGAAACACACAACCAATAGGTGCTTTTCATCTTCAAAGAACATGTCATTAATTACTCCTTGCAACACACCTGTGAAGCAAGGACTCTATCCCCATTGTCCAGAAAGCAAGAGAGTCAGGAAGGAGGGGAGAGCAAGTACGTGCTAGAGGGGCGTTTGTGCTTCAGTTCCAGGCACTCTGTTTAATTCTAGACTTCATGTTATCTATCCGTACATAGAGGCAGTCAAAATTGAGAAAAAGGAAACATATTGCACCTACATTTCTTTCAGAGCATTTCTCCGAAGCTTTGCACTGGGAGGAAGTGAACTCTCTGCACACTCAGCAAAGTAATCAGACACTCCATGGAGAACTCTTTTTGTCTACTTGAAAAGATAACAAAGGTTCAACAAGAAATCTATTAGCTGAACATGAGAGAAAACAGTTACACTCTGAATGCCCCAATGAACACATTTATTTTTGTAAACGCTGAATGAAACTGCTCAGTGGTAAGCTATTGTAACCTTTTTTTAACCTAGGACTTGATGGTTAATTGTAACTTCTTTTGGACTCCCAATCCACACATTTCATACATTAATATGTGCCATAAACATACAAAGCTGTAATGCCAAGAATGTTGATTCCAAACCATCTGGGAACTCTTGGCCAATATCTGATATCTGTGAGGCTCAGGCTGTGACAAAAGCCCCTGAATTCCTGTGTGTGGCAGCAGCGTGCCTGTGAGCTGTTCTTACGGCAAGACCTGGCGGCACAGTGGTCTACACACTTATCATCATAAGAATTCCCCATATTTTCTCTATCTGCAAAAATAAAGAATGTTTTGTAATGCCCAAGACCATAGCAACGGTCAAATCTTTTAATATTGGTATTTTGAAAACTGGAGTTTGTGATTCTTGGCTATTAAAACACTCAGGACTTTTTTCCTTATACTAATCACCACTCTGGTTTTATGTAATTCAAAGATTATCTGCCTATCTATCCTTTTGTGTTCCCATGGAAGCATCATAAGGAAGTAATTATAAAATGTAAAAGCCTACTTGCCTTGCCAACATTAACCCACTTTATACTTTTGGAATCTCTTCTCCTTTTGGTTATCAAGTAGATAATCCAGACAAGGTGTTAACTCCTGTCATTTTCTAAGACACTAAGTATTCTTCCCTATCAAATTTCAATAAAATGTTGCTACCACTCGAAACAGCTTTAGTAAGCTGTCAGTAGGTTCTTGCTTTAGACATTGGAATTAGCAGTGACAGCCCCAGAGAACCTGGTACGTGGCAACCATGAGTACCATGGGTTATCCTACAGGCGGAGGAAATGTACTTTGCCTCATCACTGTCCTGCACCACTGAGGATGGGCTCTTTGCTCTCTTCAATTGTGCCTATCGGTCTCAGACCTGGCACAGTGTCACTCAAAGTCATGTCTGGTTATAATCCAAGTCAGTTTTAAGCTAGGGAACAGAATATTCTAGGTTTTATTGGATTATATTCTCCTTTTTTTTGTTTTCTAAGACTTACTAGTTGGCTAAAATTAGTGACAGCTTAAAAGTCAAATAAGAGAAAGAGATGGAAAGAAATTGAGATTTATGTGTGAAACACTTCTAAACATGCCCTATAAGTACAGTAGATTTTCCCCTTACAACCACACCCTGTAAGTGCTGCATTTTCAGAGCTGAACAATTAACATAAGGAGCATGAGTCAGGCTTTGAACAACTCTGTGGGAACCAGAAAGCCTTTTGCTATTAGGAATGATGTAAATTCCCCAACGCTGGAAGAAATCCACAATGGAAGGCAGACAGGGTCATAAATAACAACAATGAATACTGCATATACCACATAAAGTATGATGCTGTGATAGTGACACTCTCTTCAAATCTCATATTAATTTCAATCACTGCCTTTATTTATTTTAAAAATTCAGTTTAAAGAGCACTATGCATTTCTTATGGGAACTTCGAAAACTCCTTTAAGAAGCAGAGCAGTCAGCTCTCATCCCAAATTCCTCCAACAACAATGAAGGAAAATGTCCTTGGAAGAAAAGGGACAACAGAAGAGGTGACAGAGTGACAGGAGGAAATATCCTGTTCAAAAAGTGTTAAATCTGTGACTTAGATTTAAAAAAAAAAAAAAAAAAAAAAAAAAAAAAAAAAAAAAAAGAAAAAGAAAAAAGAAGACAAGAAAGGCAAGGCGGGGTCGCTTGCTTACAAATTAAAACCACATTTGGCAATTTGTTGAAGGAAGCATATTTACATTTCTATGAAGACTGGGTGGGCAGGAAAAAAAAGATTAGACTCCCTCTTCAGCCCCTGAGCTGTCAGGTCTCATTAAAAATCTCTTACTCTAACATTTCTAGGGTCAATTCACTCCCCTTTGTCACTAAATCAGAGCCTCCGGTGCAGCTCCCTGCAGCCCCCAAACAAGTATTCCTAAGGAAGCAGCTATCACCTGGGAACAGGATTTCCTAAAGGGAGTCATACTGATTACTAATGGCTTCTCACATCTGGCATCAAAATGCAATCTGAGGCTTATCCAGAGGCACAATGCCAAGGTACAGATATATAATGTATGCCAGGAGGGCTGCAAATGCTTTCTGGGCTTACGAGGAGGACCCTACTACTTTTCAGATTCTGCCATGAATAATGAACCCATCATATTTTGCAAAGAATGGAGGTAAACCCAACATATTCAAAGAGTTGGCTATCCAAAGTCCAGAATGAGGACTCATTCTGAGACCATGGGGACTCAGGTATTTAAAAAACAGATTAACCAACAGGATCTCTTAGGGTCTTCATAAATGATTCCTTACAACCTGGAAGCTAGCTCTTTCTTAGGCCAAGGAATAAAATTCTGAAAGTATCATTCCTTGGTATACTCCATTCCCAGCCATCTGCCTCACTCCCACCCTACCTCCTATTTTGTTTTACTTTTTGGTTATACTTCGAAGATTTTTGATTCATAAGTTTTTCTCTATAAAGAGTGTCAATACATAGTTCTAGGGCAAAATCAAACAGAAGCAGGGCAAGGCCCTGGTTTCTAGGGAGATACCCTCCCTCAGCAACCTAAGCAGTCTAGGCAGGCCACAGGGCAAGGGGTCAGGACTTTTTGCCATCTTTGGGGGTACTCTGGAGACCAGTGAATGTACCCCAAGGTTGAAGACAGTCAAAGCACATGTCCCAGTACAGTATCAAGGGGAAGGCCAAACAGATGAATGAGTATGATGATGGGTGATATTACCCTAATCCTGTATGGGCTGACCTGGGAAACACATTTTAAATTCCAGGATAGAAAGGACTGCAAAGAGAGTCCCCATCAGGATAACTAGGTGACTAAGATATCCTTCTTGTCTCTAATCAGAAAACAGGTTGATTTGAGATGCACAAAATACTGAGCGAGGCACAGTGGTTCATGCTTGTAATCCCAGCACTTTGGGAGGCTAACGTGGGAGGATAGCTTGAGCTCAGGAGATTGAGACCAACCTAGGCAACCCAGTGAGTCCTAATGTCTACAAAAAATTAGCCAGGCATGGTGGCGTGCACTTATAGTCCCAGCTACTCAGCAGACTGAGATGGAACACTTGAGCCCAGGAAGTTAGGGCTGTAGTGAGCCATGACCGTGCCACTGCATTCCAGTCTAGGTGACAGAGTAAGGCTTTGAGAAAGGAAAGAAAAGAAAGAAAAAAGAAAGAAAGGAATAAAAAGAAAGAAAGAAAACAGAAAAGAAAAGAAAGAAATGCTATGCAATGTTTAAGTCCCAAAAGCACACTGAAACTGTGGATAAACCAAGGAGTTCACCCCACAGTGACTTAGTAAAAACCTGATTTGAACAGAACACTGTTGTATTAATGGGAGATAGGGAGAGAAGTTGGCCTAAAACAGCAGAGAAAACACCTGCTCTTGAGCTTTCAACCTCCTCACAAAGTCTGTAAAGTACAGGAGGGGCTCCCACAGGCCAGTGGAAAGACTGGCTGCATCAGAGGCACAGAGGGAGTCTTTTGAAAATAGAGATTCCCAAGACCCATCCCTGGAAGTTCTGATTCACAAGATCTGGGGTGGGGTGAGGACATCTATATTTAGGTTCCCAGGTGATTCAAAACTGCTGATATACATAAAACAACTCAGCAAGGCAAAGCAACAGATAAACAAACACAAACTGGTACAATGAGACAGCCTTTTGCAAAGTGTCACCCGTTTATCCCGTGCATCAAAATCATGTGGGGGGTGTGTTAAAAAATGTTTTAGATTCCATCCCAGAATTTGGATCTCTAGGAAGTGGGGTCAGGGCATGCATATTTTAGGCAAGCCCCTCAGTGATTCTGATACCCAGCAGAACTACTGAACCTCTGCCCCAAAGGCACACAGAATTGATAACTGAGCAGAATCCCTCAGAATAATCCAATCAAGCAATACTGAACACTGTACCAGACATTGCTTGAGGCCCTTGAGGGAAAAGACCTCACATTCATGCAGCCCCTATCTCAATGGAGAATACAACAAACAAATAAACATATGTCTGGTGGTAATGATGTTATGAGGAGAAATAAACATCTAAAGGGCCATGGGGTGCTATTTTAGATATGGTGGTCAGGATAGGCTGTGGTAGGAAATGAGGAGGGCTTTACACTGAGACCTGAGTGAAGGACAAGCTACAGGCTACAGGAGCAGATAGGGAAGAGCATTTCCGGCAGGGGGAAGAGTGAACACCAAGGCTCTGAGGGCAGGGTGTGCCTGAAGGTGCAGAAACTGGAGAGTAAACCAGGGGAAGAGGTCAGGAGCAAGAAAGAGGGACATGTGTGTACTGGTGGTGAAAAGGCAGATCTTGTGTGACTTTTGTAAGGACGGCATAGTTTATCGTGAGGAAGATGATATGCCCATGGAAGGTTCCTAGAAGAAAAGGGACTTGACATTTTAAAAGGAATACCTTGGGCACTGTAGAGGGACAAGGTTAGATGGAGGAAGACTAGTGATGAGGCCTAGGCAATGACTGATTCATTCAGAGATGATGGGTCTTGGAGAAGGTGAGTGGTGAGGAGCAGTGGTTAGACTGGAAATATAATTTGATGGGAGATCCAACAAAATGTGCTGATGGACTCAATACAGGGAGTGGGAGAAAGAAATGTCATTGGTGACTCCACAATCTTTGGTTTAAACAACTGGATGAAGGAAGTTGGCCTTTACCAATGCAGAAAACATAGCAAATTTAGGGTCAGGCTTGGGGGAATAGGACCAAGAAATCAGTTTTCTTAGGTGTTGCTATGGTATGACTATGTCCCCTCCAAAATTCAGGTGCTGTCAATGTGATGGTATTAAGAGGTGGAGCCTTGAAGAGTTAATTAGGCCATGAGGGCTCCACCCTCATGAATGGGAT